CCCACCTGCTGCATTATTCGATTCCGCACCTACAAAGAATGTTTGATAAAAACAGCATCTTATACTTTGTCAGCACCGTTTGAAACACAGTGATCTTGTGGGTTCGCGTTGCTTTTCCTATCTCCCAGAATTACTCGAAGAGATGTTGGATGCATTCAGGAAGCTTTTTGTTTAACATTGCATTAATATGTTTCGTCAACCAGAATTGGCGTACATGGTCAGAATTTAGCAGCATTTGTTTTCCCCCTTGAAAGCGGAGAAATATATTGCCGACTTCTCTAATTGGACGGACTGTGAATTGAGCAGTACAAAAACTTTATTTCCGCACAAGTCTTGAATCAGCAATTGCGAAACTTACAAGTTATCAGGATACCAGCGATCAGCAAGAAGACTGCGATTGATGTGATCTGGGAAACCATATCGAACGGAGCGAGTGAGTGGATGTTCATGGAATGCATCAACACTATTTATATACTATTCGTGTGACATTGAGAGTCATTTTTCGAGGATTATCATTGAAAGTAATATTGAGAGTATCAGAAAAAATCTGCAGCATTCAACACAATGATGTTCCTTATAATGCGACCAATTCAAAATTAACGGACAGCTCTGTCATAGAAAATGCTCATTCGTGTGAATGCACAATTACTCCTGATTAGATGAACAGCATTCCAAGACGCGATTGCTTGTTAATTTTCGACATCTCGGGTTTTTTTCAGCGCCATTCCTTCTCCAGTGCATCTCAGAAATTGGAACAGAAAAACATTCACTGGCATAGTGATTGGAGCATATTTTTCTGATACGTTGAAAAATGATAATACTCTTAATGTCATATGAATGGCATATAAATTGTGCTGATGCATTTCATGAACATCCACTCATTTGCTCCGATCGGTATGGTTTCCCAAATCACATCAATCGCAGTCTTCTTCCTGATTGCTGGGATTCTGATAAATCGTTAGTTTTGCATTTATTAGTTCGAGACTTGCGCAAAAATAGTTGCTGCTCATTTTACAACCTACTTAATTAGGAACGTCGGCAACATATTCTGTATCCAGGACAGAAAGCAAATACTATTGAATCACACGCCAAATCTGATTAACCAAAACATTGGAAAAAAAACTCTCCCGAATCCATCCAGTATCTCACCATACACTCGTTTCAAGATAGGAAAAGCAATGCGAATCCTCAAATTCAGTGGGTTTCAAACAGTGTTAAAAAAATGTTCCACGCTTACCCATGATAATAAGATTCAGATGCTGTTTCTATCAAACATTCTTTGTAGATGCGGAATCAAATGATGCAGCAGGAGGATGGGGTGGATCTTCAGATGCTGGTTGGAGCAGCTCGCCGAAAGGAAGTTTTGGAGGGTCTTCAGGAAGTGGCTGGGGTGCAAGTCTGGCAAACAGGAAAGCTGGTTCACCGAACAATAACGCTAACCAGAAGATGC